TTGTGAGGTTTTCGACAGTGGGGGGGGAAAAGGGAAGCGCAGACAGCGCGCGAGACCCTCGAGGGTTTGCAGTGAAGTTTTACTCTGCTGCGGGGGTTTGGGACTTGGTGGGAAACAACACTCCGGTGTTTTTCATCCGAGACCCTCTCAAGTTTCCGGACTTCATCCACTCCCAGAAAAGAAACCCTCAGACAAACCTCCCGGACCCCAACATGTTTTGGGACTTTCTTTCGCTTTCTCCAGAAACCCTCCACCAAACCACCATTCTCTTTTCCGACAGAGGCACTCCCGACGGCTACCGACACATGCACGGCTACTCCTCCCACGCCTTCAAACTCGTCAACAGGCAAGGGTTTAGGGTTTAGGGTTTAGGGTTTGGGGGAGGGGGAGGAAACGCGGGCTCAAACGGCGTCAAACTCGTCAAATGCCAAGGGTTTAGGGTTTAGGGTTTGGGGTTTCATATGCCGGTAGCCCGAATCAAACGAAAAGTGGGATTTCCGTTTCTTTTGGAATTCTGTTTTTTTGCCTCTTCAACTTCTTTCCCTCCATCTCTTTAGTCTGTTAATCCTTTTGCAAATAAATTTATTTGTTTAAATTAATTGATTCCAAATTAATTTAAATAAATCAATTTTAAATTGATTTGTTAAGCAAAGTGTTTTGTTTTCAGCGAAGGAGTTGTGCACTACGCGAAGTTCCACTTGAAGACCAACCAGAAGATAAAAAACCTTTCACGACAAAGGGCGCAGCAGCTCGCCGGAGAAGATCCAGATTATGCAACAAGAGATCTTTTTAATGCAATTCAAAGTGGAAACTTTCCTTCCTGGACTCTCTACATTCAGGTGTACACACACTTCCCCGCTCTACACCCGGCGTTTTGCGGTTTACACGCAGCCCTTTGGGGTGTATAGGCAGCTTTTTTCGGTGTATAGGCAGCTTTTTGTAGTGTATAGGCAGCTTTCTGGGGTGTACACGCAGCTTTTTGCGGTGTATAGGCAGCTTTTTGGGAGTGTATAGGCAGCTTTTTGGGGTGTCTAGACAGCTTTTTGGGGTCTATAGGCAGCTTTCTGGGGTGTCTAGGCAGCTTTTTGGGGTGTATAGGCAGCTTTTTGGGGTGTCTACGCAGTGATTTGGAGTGTCTAGGCAGTGATTTGGGGTGTATAGGCAGCTTTTTGGGGTGTCTAGGCAGTGATTTGGGGTGTATTGAGAGCTTTTGGGGTGTATAGGGAGCTTTTTGGAGGTGTGAATAGAGCTTTTGAGGTGTATAGGCAGCTATTTGGGGTGTATAGGCAGCCTTTTGGGGTGTACAGACAGTTGTTTGGGTGCCTTGAAACTGCCGTTTTAGGAAAGTTGAATTTCTGGAAAGTTGAAAAACTTGAAAATGCGTTTTGAAGCGCCTATTTCCTGTGAAACAGCTGCAGACCACCCTCTCCAGAATCCGAAGTTGTCAAAAAGCCGCTTCAAATGGTTTTAATCTTGAATGATTTGCTTGTTTTGTTGTTGCTTCACGCTGCTGCAGGTGATGCCGGTGGCCGAAGCTCCCAAGTACAAGTACAACGTGTTGGACGTGACGAAGGTGCTGCCGCAAAAGGACTTCCCGCTGCTGCCGGTGGGGCAGCTGACTTTGACGAAAAATCCAAAAAACTATTTCCAAGAAGTTGAACAAGTTGCTTTTTCTCCCGGGAATTTAATCCCAGGAATCGAGCCTTCCGAGGACAAGCTGCTGCAGGGGCGCCTCTTCGCCTACCCGGACACCCAGCGCCACAGGCTCGGCCGTGAGCCGCTGCTGCTGCTGCTGCTGCTGCTGCTGTGCTGCTGCTGCTGATGGTGGTGGTGGTGGGGGGCTGCGGCTGCCGGTGCTGCGGGTGTGGCGGCTGGAGCAGCGGGGCGCTCGCGCCGCCGCTGCTGCCGCTGCAGGAGCGCGAGTGTGCTGCTGCTGCTGCTGCTGCTGCTGCTGCTGCTGCAGCAAACTTCGACCAGATCCCCGTGAATAGGCCGCGGTGCCCCCTGAGGGCCATCCACATCCGAGATGGGCCCATGTGTGTTAATGGCAATTATGGGGCCCTCCCGAATTATGAGCCCAACAGCATTCCGGGGGCCCCCAAGGAGGCCCCCCAGTTCAAACCCTCGCAAACCCCTCTTTCAGGGTTTACGGGACACTTCCCGAACTCCCACCCCAACGACGTAAACCCCACACCCCCACGCCTTCCTAGGGTTTCGTAGGGTTTCCTAGGGTTCGGGTTTGCTAGGGTTTGCTAGGGTTTGGGTTTGCTAGGGTTTCCTAGGGTTGGGGTTTGCTAGGGTTTGCGGGGGTTTGGGTTTGTAAGAGTTTGCGGGGGTTTGGGCTTGTTAGGGTTTGCTGGGGTTTTCAAGGGTTTGCTGGGGTTTACTGTGGTCTGCTAGGGTTTGCTAGGGTTTAGGGGTTAGGGTTTAGGGTTTAGGGTTTAGAAGGGTTTTGCGTCTCAGTGTGGTTTGAACATCATTTGTGTCCTTTCAATCTGCTTTAAACCCTTTTATTCTTCCTAAACCACTTAATTGTCCTTTTGTCTTTCTATTTTCTTTTTTAAATTAATTAATTTATTCAATTTAATTAATTTAATTTAATTACTTTAATTAATTTAATTTAATTTAATTAATTTAATTTACCTTCTTCAGGACTTCGAACAGGCGGGAATTCTCTACCGAGATGTAATGACACCCGAAGACCGCGAGGCTCTCATTGGCAACATTGTGGACCATTTGAAACACGCCGACAGACATGTAATTATTCATTTATTTATTTATTTATTTATTTATTTATTTGCTTATTTATTTGTTTGTTTGTTTGTTTGGATTTGTTTTGCTGCTGCTTGCGTGCTTGGTTCTTTGGCGGGAAGTTCGCAGGTTCTGGAGTTTTCTCTTTTCGCCACCTTGACAGTTCATTATTTATTTATTTATTTATTTATTTATTGTTTAATTAGATTATTTAATTATTTAATTACTTAGTTGTTTATTTATTCAATTGTTTACTTAAATTCAAGTTGTTTGCGAAATTTTGAATCTGCTTATGCATGATCCTCATGCCACGTGTGCAACTGCTGCTGTTGCTTCTGCTGCTGCTGTTGCTTCTGCTGCTGCTGTTGCTGCTGCTGCTGCAGCTGCAAGAGCGCCAAGTGAAGCTGTTTTACCGAGCTGATAAGGACTATGGCTTGCGAGTGGCCAGGGGTTTGGGCCTTCCAGACTCGGCCTGCAGTTCTT